CTATTATTCATCTATGTGGAAGCAAACTACCTACAAGTCTCCCATGCTACCAAACACACATCCAGAGGTATCTAAATCTGACCAACGTTTACAGTGGCAATGAAACTGACTTAAGGTTTGTTCTGCCACACTGGTAACGTATCTGGTACTCTTAGCACTATCCTTTACGTAGCCTCAGTGGCGATTTCGTTTCAGTTTTATTCTGCTGGTAATACTTGGAGTGATATAACATATAGGTTGCCTTCTATAGCCATCAAAGGCTACAGGCCTTATCGGCTCATAAGCCGTCACAACTGTCAAGGTATAATTGTTACGGTTTGACTGTTGTTTGGGCTTAGGCAGTTACCTAATACTTATATCGAGAATTCTTACGATGGAGCAGTGTGAACGGAGATGAAGCTGAACGAAACGGGACTACTAGTCAGGAGGCTGAAGCGTTATTACAACTAAGTGACACCTGGAAATACGTGGCCGGCTAAGAATTATTGTGCCTAAGGACAAGTCACTAGTCTATAGATTCACGAGGAGGATCAACTCATGTAAATACCTGTTAGTATTAGCTAGAGTAATCTTTTATCTTCACATCGTATAAAAGGTTATGAGGCTGCAGTGATGGAAGGATTGCATTCAATGATAGAATTATGGATGAGGACTGATATTATGATCGATAGATAGATAGAAAAATAGATATAAAAATCATATGTATGAGTACAAACAACCGGTCAGGTAGGCCTCCATTCTTTAACAATACTTGGTTGCCCAGTAACAGTCAGACCTATGATAAACAGGCAATAGAATGGTAAACAACAAAGTAACCATGGTTGGATAGAGCAATTCCAGATGACAAAGGCGTTCGAAATGCTGCTGAGGGAAAGGAAAAGGTCAAATAATGCTTGGGGCGGATAGAGATGATCTGGTTGGTTTACATGGATGGCACTATAGTGTAACTGCGCTTCCCGAAGAAAATATGTGAAAAGTAAAGACAACAAGCAGAAAGGTGTGGGGGGTTTTCACCATAAAGGTTTCCTCCCGGGTAATAATTATAGATTGTAGACACCTGCATGGACCTCTAGGGCGCCAAATCAGGATAATGAAATCATATTCAAAATCCATCTATTCATCACCAACTCGGTTTCCGTCACAATAATACTGTAACTACATGAAACACTAAAGCGATCAGGTCACGCACGATGTAAATTATCTTCAGGAGCTACTTTTGAGTTCCCTTGCCCTCTTTGTAGAAAATCTCATTCTGTTAAATGACAAGGTGTGTCTAGCTGCTACAGGGGCAATCCGAGTCAGGCAGAGTCAAACACATGAGTCGCGTCAATTACGCTATTCATGCAGATCAGTCGCGTGGAGGAAAATTTGTACTTAGGAGTCTGGCTGTCTCGATCTTAGTATACTTTTAGTTAACTCGAATATCTGATTCTATCTGACCTCAATCCACTGTGCTAATTCCATCGTCTTCTATACAGTCATACTGCGACAGAAGTCCTCCCAAATCTAATACATTCACCAGATTTGACCTCGTCGATCTTGCTTAGATTACTGTGATAATAACTCAACTCCGCTTCTAAGTCATTGCTTCGTTCCCTCACAAAGAGCTTCACCGAGGAATATGGCGATGGAGACAATGTTAGTGACTCCAATGTGTTGGAAATCTAGACTTCGTATGTATGAAGGTTTAGATTTCTAGTTTGATCATCAAGATCAATTTACTTGTTTCTATTGCATACGATTAAGCTCAGCTAGAGGAAACGAGGTTCAGTAGTATCTGAAATGCAGTGGCTAGGAAATGATACCATGCGGTAATTGAGTGGCTGGTTGTAGCTAGATCACTGAGAGTTCGGGATCACTAAAGCCTCGGGAATCTGTATTTAAGGATTTGTTTATTTGTATATGTTGAACTAAGTTAACGGAGTATTAAATATTATTAATTCATATTGAGAAGAGAGTTCGATATCACATACAACTATCAATAAATTCTTATCCGAAATTGTACACTTGTTCTTCGAGATATTTCCTCCTAGAAATCCTTGACAATTTCTAACACAATGCGGGTAGCTATATAGGTTCAAGAGGTAAAAAGAGGCCATTGCGGTAATAATAGTTGTAAATACACCCGAGGGGAGAGGTAATGTCACGGGTCCGGGGCCTGCCAAGTCACCACCCGTATTACATCTCTCTATTGTGAAATTTCTCGAGCACATCACAAAGTGACTCTTATGTTTTCATTACTTTCGAGAATCAAAATAAACTTTGATCAATTCGTTTGCTCCATCGTACAGATCACGACCTCATTTTGTGACGATAATCAATTAGACTACAAACAAAACTTAAAAATCTTTATAAACAGAAATTAATGATACTGCAATCTGCGCGAGGACACGTCTTAACATATGAAATTATCGTCATCTTCCCTCTGAGTCACATTGAGGCTCCCAGCGTGAGAAAATACTAGCTCTGGACCCAAGCTCCAAATATGACTGTTGTGAAGGCGTGTTTCAAGTCACTCGAAATGGTCTCATGTTTGCCCACTCGGAAACGACTAGTAACGAATGGCCTACGAGTCTTTCTAGGGGATAGCTAATGGGATTCGCATAAATTTGAAACATTCCGCCAAACGACTATTGATCACTGAGCAGCTGCGTTTGTGGTTCGAACACAAGACCTGAGGATGGTGAACATGACTGAAATTCTCCGCTCTACCACTGAGCTAACGCAGCCTCGCTTTCTAGGGAGAAAAAATAAATAATAAATAAAGTGGGTGTAATTCATCCACATTTGATTTGATAGCTTTAATTCACAAATTAGCGAGGAATTTTAGGTAGCAATTTCTCGAAGAACAGGTGTAAATTTCGGACAAGACTCTATTGATAGATATATAGGATATCGAACTCTCTTCTTAATACGAATTAACATTATATAATATTTCGTTAACTTCATTTAGTATATACAAATGGATCTATCCTAAAACACGGATTTTCAAGGCATTAGTGATCCCGAACTTCCAGTAAACTGGCCACAACCAGCCACTCAATTATCGCAGGGTAGAATATCCCGGCCAGTGACGTTTGGGTACCACTGGACCTTATGTCATCCAGGCAAGCTTACTCATATGCAATCGAATCAATACAATTGATCTTCATGAGTATACCTTAAAATCTCAACCTTCATATACAGTGAGCCTAGATTTCCAACACTTTAATGTGCCAGGAAGTCCTTTCACTCATTGGGCCTCACGCGAGTAGCGGAACCTCCCGCATCTAACTTTCCTGCATGAACGGCCCTCACATACTGGGGGAGAAGGAAGAGAAATTATCACACATAACTTTTGTGTCACGGGGAAAGGCACCGTGACCCTCTTTCCTCAGACACCCACAATAATCATAAATTACGCGGTGTCCTCTACGAACTTGGGAGTGAAATATTCTCCCAGAGCCAAGTTCAGCCAAATCTTGCAATACGATAGAAGCTGGCCCACGAGACAATCATTCAAAATACTCCACCACGTCAATTTTTCACTCCTAAAGAGTTAGGCTCCAACCTAAGCCTCATCAAGACTATAAGTACGACCTAGTACATCCTCATTCCAATGGTCACACCTCTCTTCGACTTTCTCTGGCCTCAGTTGACCACCAAATACACGCCCACGCCGATATTTACACCCGACAGATGAAGCAAAGCGTGGCGCACAAATCTGGGAGACAGTTCTTTGGGATGGACGTGAGAGGGATCAGTACAAGTTTACAAGATGATGCAGAGGAAGAATATAACCTCGACGGGCGTGAAATTTCAAGTTTTGGCAAGGAGTTTTACGAATTGAGATTTATGCGCGCAAATACTTCGCTTGCGAGAGTACAGCTGACCCTATAAAAATAAGTAGACGATGGAAGGTATTGCTGTCCGCCTCCTGGTGGTGTTCTCTGGTATGGTTTGAGTAGCCTGGGCACCCACTCCACTTGGGAAGGAGACACATAAGACCACATTTCACGCGGAGAAAAGTTCATGGATGATGGAGGCATGCCAGGATAACTGGGGGTTTTTGAGACGTTCCCCTGGGTGAGTATTTATGGATGAGGGATGATTTGGGGTGAAGAAAAAGCCGCTATAACTTCGCAGTGGTACTTGCAAATGAAATCCGAGGCATGAGTGCTCTTCTTGTAAATTGAGTCATCTATTACACACTTCTCTGATATTGTGTCATAGCTAGATAGCTGCATACGCAATAAAAATCTGATGCAAAAAAAAGTGAACAGTTTATTGTAATGCAGCCATGTTACTCCCCTAATTATAACAAGATCTAGTGGAAAGATACTCTAAAACTGTAAATTAACGTTATGGCAAAAAAACAAAGTTTGAATCGAACCAGAGGCAGGAGCCGGCCTCACGCTGATGCTTCGAGTGGCTATTAAAGACGCGCTTTTGTGCCTCGACACAAGGTCAAATAATATAAAAAACCAAACGAGTCGGAATATTTTTGGTTGCTTGAAATACTGACGCGAATAACCTTGTAACTGTAAACATGCAACGTAAATATGACAGAAAGTTCCTTTCAACTATGCAATCAACCCCAAGTTTCAACTCGATATAATTGTTGAGACCCAGAAATAAAATATTATTACAGGGTAAATAACGTATGGGTCACATATTTACCTGATCACCCACACCCACCTGACTGTTAGTGGTTACCTGTTGGGCAGGAAGTTTGCGTAACATGTTGTGTTGAGGAAGATATAGGTCACGTGACAGTAGCCTTCGGATATTAAAGAGGCATGAAGACAGATCACTCGCTCCGTTTAGGACACGAGTAGAAGACATAAGTGTTGGCTCTACAGAGCTAGATCACTCGTGGACTATGAATGATGTATATAAGATAGAAAATGTGTATTGTAATTTTATCAATTCTTTATTAATATAAAAATTGTTATTTCATTCCAACAATAATAAGAGGTGACCTTTTGCACATTGATAAAAGAACAAAGTTCAAGGAACTGTCAGGAACTACACGAACATTGCATAGCTCTTTTCGATTGTGGTACATCGCCACACCACTTCTCTTCCTCTGATATTCCCCATGTATCATTAAAAGGGTCACAAGCCATATCAAGTATATTTTCTAAAGAATCTGTATCTCCCTTTGAGACACGTCTGATGATTTCATCTAGCACCCAACTGCGCGGTAAAAACTTTGGGTTTGCGCATTTCATGGCTACCTTTCGGGAGGAGTCACAAGCTGTCGGACTCCAATCCTCTCTGACTCGTCGACTCCATTTCTCAAGCCATTCAGCGATACATTTTCGTGCGTCGGCGTCGCTAATATCGGCATCTATAATGCCTTCCGCATGAAAAAAAATGCTGGCAACAGCGGTTCGTTGGCTTTCACTTTCTAGCTCATTCAAGTTTACGTTGCTAAGTCTCCGGAAGAAGTGATTAAAGTCCAGCCCGAAATACTCCATAATTTGAAGTAACTCTTCGTAGATTTCTTTAAAATCAGGCTCCTGACGACTCTTGATCCCCAACCGTAAAGCCATAAGCTTTTCGTATTCATGAAAGAAAATGTCCCTGTACTCCTCACCAGCTCTTTCGATTAGAGCTTTGGCACGGGCATCAATATTTCCAGCATCTTTGGGAATAATACCCTTCTGTATAAATTCAGGATCATCCACGTATGAGCCAATCCCCATAAGTTCAGCGAAAGATTCACCTAAACGCTCTAAATTCCACCAGATAACAGACATCTGATTACAGTAAGCGTAGCGAGAAAGCTGATCGTCGTGGTTTGGCGTATACTGAGGGTCAAAATTATCTAGAAAGGCAAACGGGCCGAAATCAATGGAAAGACCAAATATAGAGGTATTATCTGTATTCAGAACTCCATTTACAAAGCCATAGACTTGCCATTTAGCTACAGTCTCAGCATTTCTTCGCACTATTTCGCGGTATAAGCGGGTAAATCGATTTTCTTCGAGACCAGGCGGTCCTTCGATGGTGAGCTTAGGAACATATGCTTTATTAAAAACGGCATGGTTGGCATCTTCATTGACCTTACGGCATGGAAGGAGGTGCCATCCACCAAACACAACTTCTGCAACATACGTCGCTAGCTGCCTAATCAAATCTCTCTCACGTCGTTCATGGAGAAGATCAAATGTTCCTATACGCAGCCATGACTGGGCAAATCTAGCTACGATTGCCCCGGTTTCCAAAGTCTCCCTGCGCACCCCTACATAAGGCAATGCAGTCAGGGATAATGCTCTTGTCGACGGGATTCTCAATGCATTTAAAGCTTCTGAACAAATAAACTCTCTAATGCTTGACCTTAGGACAGCTTTTCCATCGGCAAATCGTGAGTATGGAGTAATTCCGGCACCCTTCAGTTGTAATTCGTATTGCACATTAGAATTTCTACCCTTTAATTCGAAAAGAGATATAGCTCTTCCGTCACCTAACTGGCCCGCCCACGAGCCGAACTGCCAACCACCGTAACAATGAGCCCATGGATAGCCGCCCTCTTCTTTTTCTTCATCCCAGCCTGATAATCTATTACCCGCAACGATATCTCTGAATTCTGAGCTGTATTCATCACCATCATAGATATCCAAGTCTTTTTGTGCTTCTTTACTAACAGCGAGAAGTATCGGCTCATAGACTTCTTGTGGCCGAACCCATGTAAATAAGGCACCCTTGACTGTACGTGGCCTTATTTCCTGTCTTGGTGTTCTATGAGAGGCTGTCGGTGTCGGAAACATAGGATCGGGGGGAAAGTGTGAGGTAAAGTTCCATGATTTAGGTAACTTATCTAGAGATTTGTTTCGGTCTATTTCGATATTTATTACAGACTCTGGTTGCTTACAAGCCTTTTGGTATCTGTGAAGCTGCGGTCTCATAATTTGCTTTGAGAGCTTACAAATCTTTGCGCCAAGAGAGAATTTTGGCATATAATCTATAGCCGTGATGTGCAGTGTACAGATAAGGGTGATAAGAAGGAAGCTTTTAGTAGCCAATGAAATTGATAGCTTATGAGTTGGAGCTACCGAAGAATGATTGTGGAGAGGTTAATCAAATATAGTGCAGTCGCTGGTCGTGAAAATGGCATCCTTCGAGGGAGGAAATACCAATCTTTATCTGGATCAGCCACATGACGACTACACGTTAATCGTGAGAGGTCCTAATTAGGCTTGGCATAATAAGATTTTGGTGCAGTGGTACGCCGTCAGGTCACCTATTCTGAATTTAATCTAGGTTACAAGAATACTTTTTCTATTTGAGGCAGGAAAGCATTGGAAACATTTGAATAGAAAGTGATACATTTTTATCAATTTTTTGCACCTCATGACGAAGGCATATTTAAATAACCATTGTTTTTATGGTTCCTTTTCGTGAACACTCAAAGACAAGGGTTGGATGTGTGGCACAGACAACCACATGTCACAAAAGTATTTACGAATCTAATTCGTTGTCGAGAATCTCAAGCCAAAAAAATCATGCAAAATGTACATTAAACATTGGCAATACTTCATAGTCAGGTAGCTAGATGTACATCGAATGATACAAAAAGACCACCACCACAATCGCTGTCCACCGCAGGCTGCCGGAACCATCTAGCTATTTAGCCTTCACTCGTAGCTAATGGAAACAGTGAAGATGTTAACGATTTGTCCGTACAATAATCTCTAATCAAGACTCTCCTTGCCGGTAAGTAACGTGGTCAAAGAGATTGTGGGTCTCACTGAGTCAGGGTTAAGTGTTTTCACAGGCACAATGAGTTTACCTGAGCCCCCTCTCTGCTATGTCTTACGCCGGCAAAGGCGAATTCTTCACTCTCTAGCGGTGGCAGTGTAATCGCCTAGTATGCTCTACATATCCAGGGTCGCTAAGAAGAATCGTATCCAGATTGAAGTAGAAAAAAAACACAAGCATATCTAAAATTGACGACTTCTCATCAATGATAAATCTATCATTCTTAAACGAGTCCTCCATTTAATCATACCGCAAACCAACTCTCATCCACTACCAATTATGGAGCGGCTTCAGTAGTAAACGAGAACCTCCCTCTTAAATTACCAGCCATCTCTGACTATCAAATAACGACACTACGCAAGAAGGAGATCAAGCCGTGAGAAACAAAGCTCGGGAACTGACTTTCGGAAGATCCTTACTCCTATTGGGCCTCACAATCTGAGGGAGAACAGACAGTTGGGAAATGGGCTAGAGAGAGAAAAGGCTACTAGAGGGCATGCTGTGGCTGACATATTTCGAGGCGGTTTGACACTGGAACTTTTGTGTACTATGACTATGATTTCGGGTAAATATTCAGGACTTCTATTGTTCATGAGCCTTCAATACTCCCCAGTACCCTCGACGCCATATAAGAAGTTGGGCTAAGCTACCATATAGCAATTACGCTCTGTCAAGACTCTTCTGACATTTCAACCTGACTTTCGAGAAAATGTTGGAAAGAGGTTAGAAATGTAGAGAGTGGAATTCCTTAGGTAAATATAAGTCTGCAGCGCCCAGCTAGTCGGCCTCTTAGAATGCTTCAGAAGGGTCACTTTGTCTCCGGATTCAGGCCTGATGTCGGTATTAGAAGAGCCCGGCACTCAGTGGTATTTGCAAATCTCTCTTAACCTTCAAACCCGTAGATTTCCATCTTTTCTTTAGCTGAATACGGAGGATAATGGATTACATAGGGTTTCTCTTAGTGCATGGTCAAATGAGGTCTTTGTCACGGGGCGAGAGAGTATACAACATAGAAGTCACGGGAGAAAATGTAAACAAGATATGTTAGATAGAATGTTGATAAGATACGGTAATATAACACTACATTACACAACTTTCCAAGACATGAATGAGGATTACTTTAAAGGTCTTCTCAGACTAGCTCGACGTTAGTGTCATTAATAACACCCGCCCTCTCCATTCCTGGGCAATTGTGTTACTATGAAAACTAGAACCCAAACCACTACTTACTAATGCTTTCACCCTTTTATGGAGAGTCATGATAGGAATCATGACAGTCTTGTGAGATATCGTGAAATTTTAATGAATCATTTGGGCGGCATACAAAGGTATATATTACTAGCATAGGTATCCTTGGCCCGTAGTCAGAGGAGACTTGTATGTTCTTTTCGGTCTAAGACTTCTCTTTTTTTGCGTCAGATTTTAATTGCGTAAGCAGCTATCTAGTATTGACATGATGTTGTGTGTTTTTACGTTTAGGTCCTTGGTTATATTCGCTATCCCCTAATGTCAGGTATCTGGGTGTCTGACCTGTGGCAGGCGAAGTGTATTTGAGACTGAAAAAGATAACTCAGTAAAAACAATTTCTATGTTCCCGGAACAATAGGTCTATATATACAAATAACTATGAACCTAAGGAAAATAAAAGACTTGACCATCCAACTAATTTTAGGTCATTCTAATTGCATGATGTCGAGTTAAAAATGTGATTTGCCTAAAAAAGCTTTGCAAGAGTGCGAGACTGTGTATACCTAAACTTAGCCCTTACACTTTTTTTTGCATCAGATTTTAATTGCGTATGCAGCTATCTAGCTATGACACAATATCAGAGAAGTGTGTAATAGATGACTCAATTTACAAGAAGAGCACTCATGCCTCGGATTTCATTTGCAAGTACCACTGCGAAGTTATAGCGGCTTTTTCTTCACCCCAAATCATCCCTCATCCATAAATACTCACCCAGGGGAACGTCTCAAAAACCCCCAGTTATCCTGGCATGCCTCCATCATCCATGAACTTTTCTCCACGTGAAATGTGGTCTTATGTGTCTCCTTCCCAAGTGGAGTGGGTGCTCAGGCTACTCAAACCATACCAGAGAACACCACCAGGAGGCGGACAGCAATACCTTCCATCGTCTACTTATTTTTATAGGGTCAGCTGTACTCTCGCAAGCGAAGTATTTGCGCGCACAAATCTCAATTCGTAAAACTCCTTGCCAAAATTCGGAATTTCACGCCCGTCGAGATTATATCCATCCTCTGCATCATCTTGTAAACTTATCCTAATCCCTCTCACGTCCATCCCAAAGAACTGTCTCTCAGATTTGTGCGCCACGCTTTGCTTCATCTGTCGGGTGTAAATATCGGCGTGGGCGTGTATTTGGTGGTCAACTGAGGCCAGAGAAAGTCGAAGAGAGGTGTGACCATTGGAATGAGGATGTACTAGGTCGTACTTATAGTCTTGATGTGGCTTAGGTTGGAGTCGAACTCTTTAGGAGTGAAAAATTGACGTGGTGGAGTATTTTGAATGATTGTCTCGTGGGCCAGCTTCTATCGTATTGCAAAATTTGGCTGGACTTGGCTCTGGGAGAATATTTCACTCCCAGGTTCGTAGAGGACACCGCGTACAAGTGTTCAGTCTTGTCCTCCTTAGCCCTTACTCGCAACAATACATGCGAGTAAGCATTTATGTGCTTCTCATCAATAGGCCTATGTTTAGTGATCTCGGCTATTACCTCATCTCCCAATCTATTCTAATATTTATGCACATAAAAAATAACTTATTCGACTCCTAAGGGTCAAGGACCGGTGTTCACAGCTAAGATCATATCTGTGACACGCGCAACTTGATCCCACTACTTGAACCGCTACACGAATAGTTGCTAGTTGAAATCGAAAATCAAGACAGATCGTAAAAAGAATAGAAAAACACGGGATTATTTCAAGTAGGGCCCAGGGAATGTATTCCTCACACATTCTCTCGTCCGTTACATCTCCCAAATGACAAAATCTCTCCATCCCCTCTGAGAGCTGGAGATGATTTGGCATGTTTCCTCCATAATCGTCGGTCCCTATTCAAAATATGTTAAAGTCATTACTGACTTTTTCCGGGTGCGCCTCGCACCTCACCCCTGTACCTCGGGGTTTAAGGCCCCAAAGCCTAATCTGCCAGACATCATCGCATCTTTCGAGATAGGTCGACTTCCTGCAGCCTTCGTTTGAGCTACTGCAGCAAACTCTCGTTGGCTGGCCTTTCGAATTAAACCCATTTCCTCCTTGATTATCGGGCCAGCTCGCGTCGATCGAGCCAAGCAGACTCGACTATCCAAACGGTTAGGACCACCATAGTTATGACACTTAGTGGCAGCTTTGCACTCCATGGCGGAGTGCATTGTTAAGCCGCAGTTCCAGCAAGACAGGGCGCGAGAGAAACCACGGGTGACGTGGTAGCCGAGCCTGGAGCTTTATAGCCATCCCAGACTCGTTGAAGATGCGGAAGCCCGCAGGAGAAGTGGAATCCTGCGCAAAAAAGTTATTCCCGTTTCTGTAAGGCGCACCAGGACGGCACGTCGCGTGTGGTTGCACCTGAATTGGCTTCATACAGGTTTTAGAATAGATCTCAGCTGAGACCCACTCAGCATCGACCGTCCTAATACCGTCGAGTATTTTGATAGTCGTAGGTACATTCGCGATCCGAAAGACGAAAAGTTCCGAAGCTTCTTCGAGTTTGGCATTGAAATTCGCCAGTAATGGAGCCGCATCTAAGAGATATAGCCAGAAAATCGCAAAGCCGGTCCTGACTCGGTAAAACGAGCCGACGTCACCCACGATGCACCCCAGCTCATCTTCTTTTTTTGCCGTACGCTTACATACAAAAGCTTACGCCACGGGTGGTCGTTACTAAGGCAGACGAAAAGTCGTCTGTGGACTTTCGCCTCCGGAGGGTCTTTGGGACTTTGGCCACAGGTTGCTACACAGCCTCTACTGAAGGGTGTCATGAATGCGCTTTTCACATTAGTAGTAAATCGTCATATACGTAGTGTAGCATGCAGAGCCAGGGAAATGGAAACAGGTTAGTGATAAATTAGATACCACCGATCGCTACACTCACCCGTAGATCACTCCTAAAAGAGACTAGCTACGGCGCTATCTGGAAGTATGTGGGATTGGTTAATCATCATGTAAATAACCTGTAACATAACATAACATAATAACACAATAAGATACCATTCGCTTTCCGTAACATTTATTGCCATAATCACCCAAGTATATTCTAAGCCCCCTGAGTAGTCACAACTATTTAATTGAAGATACCAAGTGTATACAACCATATACATCACCACCCTTCAATAAAGGGACTGCCTATTGTGGCAGTCCGTTTTTAGCTACCGTAGCCCAGGTGCTCTTTACAGGTAGCACTAGGACGACGGGTTCGATTTGGTTCCTGGCGTCGGGAGCTCTCGGACGAGGGTTCACAGGGCGAGGAGGAAGGACAGGTGGCGTAGTGGCCTAACCCGAGGCCATGAATTGTGCAAAGGCGGCGCGTAGGTAGACTCTCATGGAGTCTACAAATTATCGATTTGTCCCAATCTTCAATGGTAGAATGGTTTATTCGACACCAGAGAGAGGGACTATTCTCAACACCTGTCAGTGGTGTCCCCTACGAACCTCCAGCTCTCACTGTAGAGTCTGCAGAGCCGAGATTGAGTAACAAAGTCCTCACTTCGATGAGGATTCCCAATCGCTTTCGCGGTCTGTATCGTCTTCATCTCTTAACATAACCCCACATCATCATTATCATGAAGTTAACCACCATCAGATCAGATGGTAGGGTCGAAGCCCTTTTCATCACCCACCCTTGATCATGGAAGAGAAGTCATCCGATAAGTTTCCGGAGCGTACCCAGCACCCAATACGGAGATGGCGGATTGGATCAAGTCGGTCACGACTGTTACAAAGAAGGGAGATATAGATGAATATGCGCACCTCATATAGTCCCGGTGTCTAGGCCTCTCCTGGCTGGGGCTGCAGGTTATTTGAGGCTTTTTCCCGCACACGCAGTTTCCATTGCTACCATTTTTTTTTTGGGTAGAAGGTCCCGTGGAAAAGGTGGCCGAATTCCTCGGGCAAACACTGAGCTGAATGGATATTCATTAAGGGTAATATATTAATTATCTTTCAAGTAACAAAAGAGGCAAGGAGCACTGTACAAGGTGTGGCCTGGACCAGAAAGGAGCCCAATGTGCTAGATATTCTAAGAATCAAGTAGTACAGTAAACATACCTCTCTCTCTCTCTTAATAAAAGAGGAAATGGATATCCGGGCTAGGATTAGACCCTGAAGCAATAACAACTTGAGATATGCTTCACCATGCGACGTGCCCATCGATCAACCATGACACCATGACTAGTCCTGTTCATCCACTAAATCGTAACCTCATGAGTCATCCCTATAGCAAACTGCGATATACTATGATAAGGATAGAAAGCACTGGTCAGGATCGCATTTGATTTGCAGGTACCACTGCGAAACCATGGCAGCTTTTTCTTCACCCAAAGTCAACCCTCACCCGTGAATACCCACCCAGGGAAGCATCTCAAAAACTCCGAGTTATCCAGACACGCCTCCATCATCCATTTACTTTTCTCCGCGCGAAATGTGGTCCGAGGCTTCTCCTTCTGTGTGGGCGCAGCATTGTTGGTAACTAGCTCACACGCTGATAATGGGGTTTGTCTGGAGGACGGTTACTAGTCTTTAAAATAGGGGGGTCGCGTATGCAAGTAATATATTGTTATAAAATCGGTATGAGTTCGATGAGTAAGGCAGCTCGAGGAATATGGGCGCGATTTACGAATAGAATAATATAAATATGAGTCGGAAGAAAACATGGTAAGCTGTAGAAAGAGAAGTGCGATATAGAATAAGTTGAATTGATTAACCTGTCTTGGATGCTCCTAGACAGCTTATATACACTTATCTCAGCAATCCAAATCCAAGTATCAACCCCGAGCCTAGTCCCCTGCTCCAGTAATTACAATGAGAACAGGGTCGGTGAGTCAAACTATACCCGACGGGTATCACATCTCTCCATGTTCCAGTCGAGTCTCGTACACCAAACATGCTCAATGAGGTGACTGTTACTGACCCCAGTCGTGACTCAGGTGTGAGAACCTTTGTTCTTCCAATCCTAGGGAAACCTCAAACATCCAGGGTGTCAATTTCCAGCATATATTGTCTACTGAAGTGGTTTTGATCTCTAGTTTATGAGTAAACTACCTTTTAACGTAAAGACTCAAGTTTTGTGCATCGAAACCGTTACATTAATTTTCTTGTCTGCTGCGACACAGGTCTGATCGATCGCTGCTTCGCGTCCATGATGGAGAGAAAGATAAGATGGGCGAGGTAGATTTGAAGTTATGAGCTTTAGCGATGCTGGAAGTTATAGCGGAATCAGTGTCGGCGGTTCGACCAACACAGTAAGTCTTATGTGAGGTTGTAGAAGATTTGAGTGGAAACAATTGTATTGAGAAGTATGGTTCTGAGTAAACTTAGATGATAAAAGTGAGATAGCGTGTGCGCATGTCTCATTAACTGTGGTTTTGACCAGTATTTATCAATCTCCATGGATCGTAGGTTATGATCACTGTATATGTAGATCTATGTACATACACATACACAAGCCAGGAATATAAAGCTAAATACAAGTGTCGGTAATAGATTCGAGAAACCTTTAACCTGCATTTGAGACATAGTCATCCGCTAGAATGAAATAATTTATTCTTGGCATTCCAAGATATATCATATTTCAACCGATAGGTCTTCATTCGAGTACACACTAAAAGGAGCCGTTATCCCGTCATTATCTCCCCTCTCCAACCAAGGAAAAAATAGCCTTGGCGGGTGTGTAGCTACAGGGAAAAGTCTCAAAAACCACTGGGTGCGGGGCTCTCCTATGACAAAGAGGCCGGCCAGTCGGGCGCAGCAGAGCTGTGTAACCTAAGAGCGACCTCAACCTTATAGCCTTCTCCTTACTCCTACCTTGATTCATGTCGCTGCTAAGGGCGAAGAGGATTACGGACACCGCACGTAAACAGTACCACAAAGAATTAATATTTTTCTGTAGAGATTAATTGCAGGAAATCTGTTACATTAAATATGCCCTCTGCAGCTACCAGTGATCTTGATTCCTGACACGAAATCCTTCGCTACTGAGTGATCTGTTTCTCAGCCTCAGCATAATTAAGTGAGTGATTCGAGTCATGAGAAATGTTGGGATATTGAGAAAGTATAGTCACGAGAGTAAGATAATGCAGATGGTAATATATGATATGTGAAGAATGTATGGATGTAGTACTAAGGGTGTGTAGTGATAAAGGTGTTATGTACTAATTTGTGGACACCTTTCACTTGACCAACTAGCTGACTAAGCAGCATTTCCTGACAAAAAACGACTCCAGGTTGGATCACGTGATTAAAGTCCATGAACGAGGCTGGGCCTGAAAGATAGCCCAGCCTAATCGAATGGGGCACAGCCCGTAACAGTCGCCGGACAAACCGAAGGTCGTGAAAGGATGTCAGGAAAGTCTTGGTCGAGAATGACTATCATCAAGGAGCCTAGCCTAGCATCCAAAAGTCGTTACGGACGTGGGTTTGTCGAGTACCTCATGTATTTCAGATGCCCTCTTGACTAGTAGATTCGGAAGTTAAGATTAGTAGGGACGATATTGTAGACGAGTCGAGATCTGCTTCTCTTGAGGCCGGTTGGGTCTTTTACTTTGCTTTCGTGGGCCTTTTGTTCGCCCGCCGGTGGGTTGTAAATGTTATAATGTAACAAGGGCTTCTCTGACTGCCGTTGTAGTGTTTGGTAGCGCATTATCTTTCCTCATTCCCAGCATCATTATCATCGTCTTGGTCGTCTTGTGTGTTATCGGAAGCGTATGTTTGACGGAGGGGGAGGTAACTCAGCTCAAAGTTGAAAAGGTATTACTCAATCTCGGCTTTATAGACTCTACAGTGAGAGCCAGAGGTTCGTAGGGGACACCACTGACAGGTGTTGAGTTCCGTCCTCCTCAGTAGTTTAGAACTTGGACCTCTTGGGAGAGAGGTGAAGGGTGACAGAAATATATCGCTTACTTTAGCACATTTGAGGCACTAGATCAAGTGAACCCCGCTGTACAAATAATTTTAATAATTTACGTGCCAAAGTGCGGTGTAGAAGCTACTCACACCTAATATCTATATCGGGTCAGTTTGAGCATGAAGCATTGGTATTTTAATTAGACTGGGCCATCTTAGATATTATGTAATCGCGAGCTATGAGTTATTACGATATAAATTCTAGTTTGAAATTTCAATAAATCAGTCATGATAGGCTATGCCTCGCTCAATGAAATGGCACGGTAAGCAGACGTATGCAAGCATAAGTCTGGATCCGGTCCAAAAACGAGAGCACAATCTGCGTTCAGGGTTGTTGGGTAAGTAATGATGCTCGGAGGCCTGATTAGGGGTAATATTAGATATCATAGAGCTACGATGGACTTGTAGCTCGAAGTAATCCATTATTCATTGTATTCGCTCTTAGATTTCTACTATTCTCGTGACTTTCACACAAAGTCCTCTCAAAGTTTTAAAGGCTTATTTAAAGTGACTCTTCGGATTTTTATTAATTTCTGACCAGTACCATAGCCGGGGCTACGAGGCCTAGACTCAACTATGCTTTGACACATCGTCTTCTATCTTCTATCCTCCGTTCTCAGTTGAGTAAGTCTGTCAATGCTTGGTCTATTTTGAATGATATAATCCGAATGAAGTCTAAATAAAGCAACCGAGTCACTCAGTGATAATATATTCGATAATTTGCTGTTCTATAAAAAACTTAAAAGGCTTATCGTCAGGAAAGTTAAAGCTTGAAGTGAAGCAGCAAGTCGATCAGCTGAACTGGGAATGATGGGACTGTGAGATCTATGGGAGCCAATGGCTCCAGAAAAAATTTGACTTGAGACATTGATGAAGCTAGAATTTCCCAGCCCACTATTGAATGCCGCGTTCGACGGACCTGAGACTACTAATTAGAGTGGATTTTTAAGTAAAGCCACTTGGATAAGGGGGCTAAGAGGAAACAAACTTGGAAATGAAAGCACGTTTCCGCCAAAAGAGGAGGTAACCGGTGGTATAAGCCAGCTTATTCTGATGGTTGTTGTCGAAAAAACGTGGCTGTGGAATGAAGAAGCCATTGTGACTAATGATTGGGTCGTCGTTGGTGAAAAAACATTGTCAGGTTGTATTGAAGGACTTGTGGTGAGGACTGGAATGGCTCGAGAAGTAGGGGATAAAGTAGTTTCTGAATTAATCGAGGGAGAAACAATTGTCGAGTATGAAAGAACTATTGAACCTTTGAAACTGCCAGGAGCTGAAGTTATATAGGCGCTTGTAATATGAGATTTCTCCTCTTGAGTCAAAGTATTTGCGCCAGTATGAGTGGCCAGAAAACAAGTAAAGAGTACCAGTACACGCATTTTTATCGTCTTTTGCGCAGAGAGAGGCTATAGTAGATAAAATGGCGAAAATATAAAATTAAACCCTCTATTGAAGCGTAAAAGACTCTGTAATTTAGTAGATCTGCTTCGAGCGACGAAAGCTTGTCCATAAATCCTAAGTGTAAGATTTCCCGATTGTCTTTTTGCACAGTAAGAGTCACCTTGTCTCACCAGTGAAATTAAAAATTTTCACAAGTACTTGTTTGCACAGTGTACAAAAGGCTTCCACGATAATTCATGTGGTCGTAGTTCAATCTTGTCCATGGAAGCTTGAGCTTTGGGTGCAACCAAAACAACACTAACTGGAACCATCTCTGAAAAGCTAGGTTGGTTTCCATTTAGACTGAGACATAGCTGCGTGAATATGATTGATGGAATAAGTTGAGTCCATGCTGTAGAATGATAGCATCTCTTCGATTTGAATCGGGTTCTCGCAGTCATCTGAGTGTTTCCCACTATAATTAGTACAACACAGATCTTGAGTGGCGGATGCTAGCAACAAATAGAATATTGTGTGACTGAAAGCCAACTTTATTTTTTGTGTGATTTTTGGTAATTTCCGATGTTTTTCAAGTTTTTTATCATCGCCAAGGAAACTTATACTGCCTTTTTTAAGGAGTCACGGAAGCCACAATGCTAGAAAATGATGATATCTATCTCCAAGCTTTCATTTGAGCTTTTATGGCATGAAGGTTCAAATATTAACAACATAGTCTATCTCTCTTGTCTTATTGCTAGTCATAAACATTAGCCTCGAGTGCTGCGAGACTGGCATAATGCTAGCGAAGTGCTGTGAACTACTGTCTCGGGTTAATATTTCACCTACAGTGCTTTCACGGATCAGTATATCTAAAACTAAAAAAACTAAAAAACTTAAATTATCATGAAGCAAATGAGTGTTGGATTGTAACAGGCAAAGTCGTCTTAGTTTAGTCAGGGAATGAGTAATGCACAGAGTCATGAGGAGAATAACTAGCACAGTATCATCAATGCGAGTAAATGGGCAGGTATCACTCATGTTTAATCCAGGCTATAAAATGCTTCTATCTCTGTATATAATGGGTCAGAGTGTAAGAGGTTTTTGTTGAAATATGATATATCTTGGAATGCCAAGAATAACTTATTAGTAAGTCCGGCTAATTTGACTATCAAATTCCCCATTCTATATCACTGTTATCAATACATCCTTCACCGAAAGTTTAATACGCATTAGCGTTTATTTTACACTAGAATTCCAGCGGATGACTATGTCTTAAATGCAGGTTATGGTTTTCTCGTATCTATTACCGATACACATGTATTTAGCTTTATATTCCTGGCCCATATATGTGTATGTACATAGATCTACATCTACATGGATCATAACTTACGATCCATGGAGATTGATAAATACTGGTCAAAAATCACAGTTGATAAGATATGCGAACACGCAATCTCACTCTTATCATCTCGGTTTTACTCTGAACCATACATCTAAATACAATTGTTTCCACTCGGATCTTCCTCTCACAACCTCATACAAGACTTACTGCATCGGTCTAACCGCCGACACTGATTCCGCTACAACCTCCATCTTCGCTCAAGCTCATAACTTTAACGGTTTTCTCTTCACGCAACGTCTTTTTTACTTACCCTTTACAATACATTTGTTTACCAATCTCTTCTTCGGGAAGACCAAATATCCATTGCCCAGTTCTTCATCAGCAAGACCCACGTGTAACATCTACTACAACTAGTTTGTTAGAGTTAGACTCTAGTCCCATGGTGTCTAAACTGTGTTTATTAGACTGCAGGTTTCCGCCGCTGATCATACATCTACGGGCAAATTACACTTTAGGATATGTGCACGGAAATGAAGGCTGGAAAACTTAATACAGAACTGACGGACATGGTAGAACGTAGTTTCGGACTTGCGCATAACATGGGAGGCAGGTCACAACTCTGTATCGAACATATATCTCAGGGGATATAGGTGCTCTATATTTGACTTTGGGAATATCTATAAAAGAAGGCATTTACATGTACATACTAGAGTAGACTTGACGGGAGGGTATTTCCATAATAAATATATATATTGAAGATACTTGATAAAGACCTTTACATTATTTTACATCCAACTGCAATTGCAGCCACATCATAATCGACAAACAGACCATATTCATTATATGTCTGAATATTTAGATAACTAAAGTCGAATATAGTTGCCTATTCGTCTCTTCCTAGAGAAGACCTTTCACCCCTTTGACTCAATTATTATCTTCACTTACCACCTAGAACCTTTCTAGATCATCTAACGCACCCAGTGGAACATCGTCCAAACCTCATCCCTGAGAAGTGCGGATTCTTTAAAGCAACATCTTCTTCGCGCAAACATTACCTTCTCATAGTAAAAATAAATTATTCAACTTTCCTGATTTGGCGCCTTGAGGCCCACGCAAGTTTTATTGGATGATATATACTTTAAGTAGGATGACTCAATTTGAAGTGTAAAACCCTCACATTCAGATTTTATTTGCAGATACCACTCGAGGTTAACTCTTACGGCGTATTACTTCTTCCGTGCATGCATACCTCAGGGAAAATCGTGAAAAACCTTTGATTTTCCGAGTGTGCTTTCATCATCCCACAAATACAATATCACTACAAGAGAAAGGGATGTGTGAGCCTTATTGAATTCGATTTAGCTTTCTCCTGTCTCAAATGGGTTAGGTCTTCAAGCGACCCAGAATCTACATGAGAGAACGGCCCGTATGGCGTACCACTGCGCCATCCAGCTTTTTTTTTTGCATCAGATTTTAATTGCGTATGCAGCTATCTAGCTATGACACAATATCAGAGAAGTGTGTAATAGATGACTCAATTTACAAGAAGAGCACTCATGCCTCGGATTTCATTTGCAAGTACCACTGCGAAGTTATAGCGGCTTTTTCTTCACCCCAAATCATCCCTCATCCATAAATACTCACCCAGGGGAACGTCTCAAAAACCCCCAGTTATCCTGGCATGCCTCCATCATCCATGAACTTTTCTCCGCGTGAAATGTGGTCTTATGTGTCTCCTTCCCAAGTGGAGTGGGTGCCCAGGCTACTCAAACCATACCAGAGAACACCACCAGGAGGCGGACAGCAATACCTTCCATCGTCTACTTATTTTTATAGGGTCAGCTGTACTCTCGCAAGCGAAGTATTTGCGCGCATAAATCTCAATTCGTAAAACTCCTTGCCAAAACTTGAAATTTCACGCCCGTCGAGGTTATATTCTTCCTCTGCATCATCTTGTAAACTTGTACTGATCCCTCTCACGTCCATCCCAAAGAACTGTCTCTCAGATTTGTGCGCCACGCTTTGCTTCATCTGTCGGGTGTAAATATCGGCGTGGGCGTGTAATTGGTGGTCGACTGAGGCCAGAGAAGGTCGGAGAGGTGTGGTCATTGGGATGAGGATGTACTTGGTCGTACTTGTAGACTTGATGAGATTTAGGTAGAAGTCAAACTCGTTGGGAGCGAAAAAAAGACGTGGAGGAGTAATTTGAATCATTGCCTCGGGGGCCAACTACTTGAGTATTGCGAAATATTACTGAACTTGGCACCGGGAGAATATTTCACTCCCAGGCTCGTAGAGAACACCGCGTATAGGTGTTCAGTCTTGTTGTAATTTAGGCAGCAACATGACTGCAGTAGACAAATAGTACATATTAGAATAATATGCACTGGCGCCATGAGATATGATTAACCCATATCATCACTCACTGGCATGAATAGTAATTAGCCAATAAATGCAAGACAGCATACATTGGCCTTCAGGATCTCCAACAACCTTCCCATTTAGGTTGGACTAAGAAGTATGTTGGAGTTCACACTAGTGTGCGGAAAACCACGCTCTCATGTATATAGAGGGACTTCTCGCCACACATATACAATTATAGCAATTTAATCACAATTAACTATCCATTAAATATCAGTAAACTTCTTCGTATAGTAAACACGTTTATCGTATCTCTTAATCAACCTCGAGGCTAGTGTGTAATTCTTCCAATCTCCGGAACTAATTTCAATTGAAGGGAGCACAGGTTAGCAGATGAACAAGTCGAAACAGGTAAGGACTCAGATCTGGAATATAATTCATAAGATTCTAAACTAAGGGAAGAAAATAACAATAGGTATTGTTGAGAAATAAGTCTAATGCATTGCAATTCCAGGATCCTCATGACCCTTATTATGGGTCTGAGTTGTCATCATTAGCCAGGAGTTAGGAGAACCGGAGAGCAAGATACCCTGTACAATTAGCTTGTTTATCACGTGGTTACTGGGTTGTTTTGTTAGCGTGCACGGACCCTCACTCAAGATGTAAATCTCGAGTGTTGGATCCGTTTTTAATGGATAATCATTTTATACCTCCAACGAGTTGATTTCATAGACAAGTCTACCTTCCATATTTTATATTAGAACTCCTTAAAGTGATCATTACACAATACAAGGACTAAGTTTTTAATAGGTATCTAGAGATATACATATATACATAATTTACACCTGGTCCGTGCGTATGTAGGATCACAACACAATACCTGAAAGGAACAATAGTATTAGAGGCCCCGAGGGTCTGGAATACAAGGCCGTAACAAACACACGCGACAGCGACTTTAGAGACCTACTGTGAGCATAACTTCCCCAAGAGTATCCATCGTCCTGCTCCCATATAGCCTAGTTAATATAACAGCCCTCCATTTCGTCTAGGTTCCCGACACGATCTCGTGTGTATTTAAGAGGTTGGAATAGGTAATATGGTATCGCTTCAGGCTACCTATTGGACATATGAGCGGCTGTATGGCATGGGCGCAAGGAGGTTATTGGGGGTTTTCTATGCCTAGATGGCGCCACACTTGTTTATACTGTGGCTTAGGCTCTGTGTCGCTTACACTTGTACTTGTAGCACACACTTCCCACACTTTTAGCTGTAATCCAAACATGACACTCTTTTAGT